TAATTTGACCAGAGACAGACAGAAAGGGAAAGTAAGAAAGCAAACCGCCAGGTCCAGGACTTAAACTGCGGTTGGCCATGTGGGAGTCCAGCGCCTTTACCCACCATGCTACGTGCTGGGCCTCAAATGCTAATTTCTTCCAGGAACATCCTCACAGATAGAATTGGGAAAATGTTCCACCAGCTATCTGGCTATTGCTTAGCCCAGTCAAGGGCTAAACAATATCTAACTATCTATCTATCTATCTATCTATCTATCTATCTATCTATCTATCTATCTATCTATCTATCTATCTATCTATCTATCTATCTATCTATCTATCTATCTATCTATCTATCTATCTATCTATCTATCTATCTATCTATCTATCTATCTATCTATCTATCTATCTATCTATCTATCTATCTATCTATCTATCTATCTATCATCATCTACCTCCTGACAAATATTAGGTTGTCAGGAAAGTCTTGACATATTTTACTATGTAGAAATGAGTCATGATTTTTCTGACAACCAGTGATTAACCATCATACATGTCCTCTGTTGAGGGACAGCTGATGCTTGATCTTGTGGGTAGAGTGTGGCTCTAGTCCCTTCATGAGCAACGTAAAGAAATGACAATTTTATTTTATTCTTAAAAAATAATTATCAAGGTTGGCAGGTGGCATGGTGGTTAAGGGCACTGGACTCCCACATAGCCAACTGTGGTTCGAGTTCCAGACCTGGCAGCTTGCTTTCTCACTTTCCCTCTATCTCTCTCTGTTCCTCTCTGGTCAAATTAAAACAAACAAATAAATAAAACAATCATTTTAAAAATAATAATTATTGGGACTAGTAGATGGTATAGAGTTATGTTTTCTTTCTTTTTTTTTAAGAGTTCCACAAATAACACTTATTGCCCGTGGTCGCGAAGACCTCACCCACATTCGCACCAGTTCTACTAGGGCAGTCACCTGGTGACCATAATTGGGATTGAATCTTGGATGTGGGTTAAACCATTTGAGGAAACAGTGGCTATCTGGGACTGAGGACTCGGGAGTACCTCGAATGTGACCAGTAGTTTCGCTGCCATTCTTGACAGCAGCTGGAGTCCAATGTCAGACCCAAAACAACTGGCTGGGACGCCTTTAAGGCTCCACAGCCTTTTCACCACCTTCTTTTGAGACCTCAGGACCTGCGGCACCCAGCAGGGCATCGCCGCCTGATTCCTGGGCACCGGGAGGTAGCCCCCAAAGCAGTGGCATGGGCAGAGGCACCTGCCCACCTTGGTGGTTCTGGGGATGCAAAACCGGACCATTTTTTTGATCTGCTTTAGGGGTGTCAGAGATGCAGGGACCCAGTAGGGCAGTGCTGCCTCAGCCCTGGGCAAGGTGGGTGGCCCCCAAATTTGATCTGGCATTCACAGCAGACGGGCTCTTGGAGAACAGTCAGGGCCCACGGTGCATTGACTGATCTGCGGGGCACACGTCTTTCCCGAAGGTTTGAAATGTGCTCTTCCTGGCATAATGCGTCCTGGGTGTGAGTGCATGCTACAACACCCGCTGGAACGTGGGGGCCCCTGCGAATGCTTGCGGCTGTTCCCAAGGCATCCTGGCGAGGAGGACACAACGTCAAAGAGGAGACTCCCGTAGGCTCAGGGCGCTCTCACTCATCCTCTCCACAGTTAGGTTTTCTAGACTCCCACATGTGGGGAGCCGCCCACATCAACATGGCTGCCATGACCCTCCCTTCTTACAATG